ATTGAGGTCTCCAGCGACTACCACAATGTCCGTTGACCGAGCACTTTGGATTAGTATAGAGAGGCCCTTGTAGAATTCATCCTTCATTTCTGGTGAACTTCACTGTCGGTGCATACGCGGATACGACGAATAAGCATGGACGCGTCGTTCTGTAGTTGTTGACGCGTACTGAACCATCCAGACGTACGGCGCAAAGCCGGCTGTTAACCGGGATCCAATCGAGAAGTGAACGCTCGGTCTTGACACTTAGCGCAATCCCAACGCCAACAACACCGCGAGCTTCGGATGCCGAATTGCCTGACACACGGAGAATGAAGCTTGAGGATGAGGCCGTATCTGGAAAACAGAGGGAGATGACTGAAGAAGGATCTTGAATGCGTGTTTCGGAGACACAGCATACATCTAAATGGAAGGTTTCAAGGGTTCTAGCTAAGCCGGCTTGTTGACTGATCTGGTAAAGTGTGCGGACACTGAGTGCGACTAAGTGAAGAGGGGATTTCGGTTTCACAAATCTGGCAGCCTCTAAGTGGTTGACCTTATTAGTTGAACGTTGAGTGATATGCGATGGATCTCGTAAGAAGGAGGCACCTGGGAATATTCGGGATTGCGAAGGACTAGACAGATAGGAAAGATGGTTTTCCAAATGGGTACCCATTGTAGATACGCACTGCTAGTGACTTTCACAAACCACAAAAGAACCCCGCAACCGACAACCATATATGATAGACTTTTCGTGAAGAGATGGTGAATCCAAATTCACTAGGGAGCATGAACAAATGACGGGGATCCCATAGTCAGTATCACCTATAAATCGAAAGAGGAAGCAAGCTCTACCACCAGCAGTGTAAACAGAGTTCAGCAATCAGTCTGGGTATCACGTCAAAAAGATAACGTTTGGTAATCGATAACTAATCATGTCTTATTCGATAGAATTACTGCAATTTCTTTCTTGTAGGTGAGCGTTGATGTTAATCTCTGTGATAAATGCTCCACACTTTGTATGAGGACACAAAAAAGCGGTAAAATCCGACACAATCACGGTCTCAATGGAATTTTGGTCACTAAGTTATTCCGAGTATAGGAGGGATCGGCCTCCGCAACGGTTAATAGCATATTTACACTTGAGCACTGTGATTGACTTACTAATCTATCGTGCGGCGATTCACTTTCTTACCCGACCGAACGAAGTCAACCGCCATCGGATTCATCCATTCTCGTCTAAAATTTACCCGATCAACAGCCTCTGGCATAACGTTCCCACTGGAAAACA